TTCTCAGCTGTGGCTCAATATGATAATAAAAAATGACAACCCTGGGTTAAATAAGTTAGCTTATCTAGTGCTATGCTACTACACGCTACAGTAACATTCTACTTGTCTAAATGCCAGGTTTACACAACACAGGAGACATTGTTGCTTAATCTTCATGTTCATTACAGGCCTAGTGCAGTTGAATGTGTTTATTCAATGGGCAAAGACGTATCAGCTCTAAGCAACATTCAGTGGAGGGGAAAAAATATACCATGAATACCTAATGTGATATGATGCAAACTGAGAGTTAAATGACGTAACGCTGCACTTTGAATAAAAACTGAGAAAAAAATGACGTAACGCTGCACTTTGAATAACAAATGAGACTAGCAATGTTTTAGTCAAATATTTTTTAAAAGCACACGCCAACATGGCTTGTCCCAAGTATGCACGAAACACATTCTAAAAATGTGCATTTCTTATGAAACAGCTGCTGTTTGTGTTCCAGTTAATGTCAACAAATGACAACCAGCTATTTTTGCTAAGTAGAACAACGTAGGCCGAAAGTATATCACAGGGGCTATGGAGCAGAAAATAGGCTTTGCTAAAGTTTCTATTATTAAAAAAATGACAACCTCTCTAGTGTCCACATAAGTCTGTTGTTTCTTTGAGCAGAACCCTAAATCCCACCGATGTCAGATGACATTTCAGTTGTTTTTTGTAAGTCAGCTGATGTGATTTCACTTTGAAATTCCCAAAAATCAGGACAAAACATGTTTTAGCCACGAGCTGTGGGCTGACTGACCGTGAACGCTAAAGACAAACATACAGACCATTGTAACTGCTGTTCAATGGGACAATTGCTCTTGTCTCTGCCAAGCAGTTTTACTGCTCACATTAAACACACAAAGACAAAATGTCCATTTCAGCATCAGCCGGGTGGTGGTGGCATACAGCCCTCTCCACCAAAAGGCCAAACAAAAGTATGTCCTTGTGGTCATGGACAGAATGCCATTCTACACACAACAGACGGACACTGTTGTCATGTTCTCTGCAGCTTTGCAATTATTGCCAAAAGACAAGGGGCATTTGTCAATCATAAAGAAGAAAACTTTAAAGTCAGTGGTCCTTGGTCTGGAGTTGGTAATGTATCCAAATGTTTGTGATCTCCATGTTTTTATTTCACTGGGGGGCACGCAGCTCACCTGGAGACATGCATGGAGCTGGAATAAGTTGTTCTGGCATAGAAGTCACTTTGTCACACAAAGCGCAGATCTGTGCTTTAAAAAAATGGTACAAATGGGCAACTTTTAAATTAGACCTACTTTTCAAACAATGCAAGTTTTCTAAATAACTTGGCACCATTTGCAGACACAAAACCATATGACTGAAGCTCACTTTCACTTTAAAACAGACTTTCTGCATTCCAAAAGTGCTTTAAACACATTAGTACACGCACGTACAAACACGCAAACACACACACCTTGCCACAGCTTATTTGAGTATATTGTTTTGGCAAAGCAGTATTTTCCTGTACTGTTCTGATATTTAATTTTAGACATATATTATAACAAGTTGGCAGCACTTATGCAAACTCTGTAGACCAGAACTTGCCAACACCATCTGTAGTCTCAAGAGAGGCTCTAAAAAACAAATGAATCACACTGTGGTTTTGGAAAGCAACTGTTTGTGTACAAATTGATAATAAAGTACTCTCAGTAAATATTTAGTGGTTGATCTGATAGTCTAATTCACACACTCTAGAAATTTATTAGTGGATATAATATACCTTTTGTTAATTATAATGTTACATAGACATTAAATGGTTATATTTTAGTTAATATTGCATGCTGGACAATTGAGCTTGGTCATGTGACATTAGTGATCATTCATTCAGAGTTTAAATAATATTTTTTTCTGTTGAAAGAACTGCTCCAAGTTCACTTAAACATGTGAGAATATTACCATCTGCACTTGAATGTGCACCGACCAAGTTGGTTTACTTGGTTTGTGAACGCAATACAGACAAAACATCACGTAACTAAAATTAGGATGCAATGTAAAATAAAAATAAAACTTACTCCTGAACTAACATTAACAGAACGCAATGTAGAATAAAAATAAAACGCATGCAAACTCAAAACATTAAATAAACAAATCTTCAAACCAGTGATTTAATTAGTCACAAGTCATAACTCGAAAGCTAAATGCACTGTAACAGATCCATGTGAGTTGTTTAGTCGTGTGATGAATGTGTGAGTAGTATAAGTAACTACAAGCACACCAGAAAGACATGTATATTTTCGGCGTTGGCGCAGGAGATGCACAGCTCCACACCACATCGTTGATTTTCTACGACTAACTATGACTGTAGATGATAACAGACCTGCTACTGTGTCACTCACTTTTTTTTCTTTACTTTTTTCTTTACTGGTTTTTCCTAAAAAATATATTTTTAGCCTAGTTTGAGGACAGCTATTTTTACAAGCACACTTACTCCTGAAATAACATTAACAGAAGACTTAACTTAAGACCTCTAACTTAGGGTAGAGGGGGATTAAATTATTTAGAAATCCAGCAAAGTATTGTTTCATATGTTAACGTTTCTAAACTTAAACTTAAAAACATTGAGAAAGAAGAGAGTTGAAGGTCTCAGAGAAAATAAAGTGTCACTACTTGTCATTGAGACACAGCACACCTCTGCAAACAGAATGTGACTAAGGAATTTTACAGGGTGAGCAGTGGGCACATCAGCAGTTTATGGATTCAAACCTGTAACCTTCCGAGCCAAATTTGCTTCATTAACCACCAAGCCACCACACCCCTTGTATTTAGACTGTACTAATTGAAACAGATAACATCATGAGAATAACATATCTTTTTAAGAAATAATATTCAAAACTGAGGGGGAAAAATAACGTTTTAACTGTATGTTAGCTTGTTGATATTTGCAGCAATTTTATCCCTTTATTATAACGTGTCTTCACGCACTTCTCTACTGCAGCACAAATAACAGAGCTTAAATATTTGGAATATAATGATGATACGTAAATATTTGAAGCCAGAAGCTAACTGACTTTATAACTGACTTGTCTAGCGTTAGAATATGAGACGTTCAGTGCCTCGGGTCGCAAACGGAAACTCGCAGCAGTGGGGTCTCAGCCACTTCCTCGATGCAGTCGTGCGCGCCCACAGAAGGTGATGAGAGCAAACAAGTCAGCTTAATGTAAACTGAAAACAACATGCATCGCCCTCCCCCATCCAAAATACAGTATCATCACACGAGAACGCGCATTTCTGCAAACGGGGTCTTTAGGCCGACGCAACGCCCTATGACACTCCCTTTAAAAGTACGATGCCCTTTAAACTAATTAGGGTATGTTTCTTAAGTCTGCAATTTGCAATCAAGACACCAAAGGCATGGCAAAGAAAGAAAATAAGTAAAACCCTGTCACAAAAAGAAACGTCCACAAACTGATAAGACGGTAAAG